TTCTTTATAATTGAAATATTTCTTTGCTTATTTCTGTTTTATATTTTATAAAGTAATATAATAGTGATAAATATTATAATTTTCTTAAAATAATTAGCCTAGTATTATCATAATAAATAATTTCATTGTTGATTTCCAAGGTTTTTATCTGCTTCTTTCCTCCGATGAGACCTGTATAAGTTGCTTGTAGATATGGACTGCTTCAGGACTATTTCTTGTTCTTCACTTGTAGTTGTTGTTTGTTGTTTTAATTGTTGCTTGTTTTTGTTTTTTTTTTTTTTTTTTTTTTTTTTTTTTTTTTTTAGTTTTTTTTTTTCGTTTTTGTTACGGTTGTTGTTATTGTTATATGTTATTAACTTTTTAATTGTTATTTTTAGTTGATTTTCCTTTTTTTTTTTTTATCTTCACTGTATTGTTATTTGTTTTTGTTAGTTGGTTTTTTCCTTGTTTTATCTGATCTGATCCACTATGACCGTATTATTTGTTGATATTCCTTCAACGATTTTCATTAAATATTTATTCCAACCAAAAAGATATTCATTCTCTCCGGATGGTAATATTTGTTGATATTCCTTCAACAAAATATTATTTATGAATTTATATATATTTTTTATTTAAGATATAATTTGTTGATATTCCTTCAACAATTTTTATTAAATATTTATTCCAACCAAAAAGATATTCATTCTCTCCGGATGGTAATATTTGTTGATATTCCTTCAACAAAATATTATTTATGAATTTATATATATTTTTTATTTAAGATATAATTTGTTGATATTCCTTCAACAATTTTTATTAAATATTTATTCCAACCAAAAAGATATTAATTCTCTCTGGATGGTTATGTTTGTTGATATTCCGTCAACAAAATATTATTTTTGATTTTAAATATATATTTTTATTTAAGAGATATTCCTTCTCTTCTTATAGTAAATTGTTGATATTCCTTCAACAAAATACTATATTGTATTGGCACTTGATTTTCTCGGTTGTACGGACGTAGGTTCTTTTTTTCCCGATTGTTGGCGCACGATTTTTCTCCTTAAGGATTACTTGATATACCGTCAAGCCTAATTAATTTAATATATTTTTTCTTCACCAAATTTTTCTCAAAAAAAAAATTTTTATGTCCTTTAAAGGATAGTTCACTGTTTTTTCCACAATTAACTTGTCACTGTTTTTTTTTTTTTTTTTTTGGTTTTTTTTTTTCTGTTTTAAGGATACATTTATTTAATTATATTTTTTCACTTGAGAAAGACCGCACCAACAATGGCCGTACGACTGCGCCAGTTAACTTCCGTACCGCCGAGAAATCAGAAAACAAGAATTATTCTGTTTTAGATGCCAAATACAACTGATGCTTTATTCAAAAAATTCTTATATTTAAGCGATTTTACAATTATTGATTTTTCTTAGAGTTAACAAAGAACAAAGGAACATAAAATCTAGAGCTATCAAGAAAAATACTTAAGCTAAAAATTTGTATTGGGTACAGTAAAAGTAAACATTTCTTTTTGGGTTATTTCCGTCATAGTTTTATTACTAGTGTTGTTATTGTGATGTTGAAGTGGAGAATTATTGCTGACGAAATAATGTCAACAATATTGGTGTTAGCTCTTTGGTGCTTATGACAATGTTGTAACTAATAATGATGTTAATAATAATGATATTAATAATAATGATGTTAATAATAATGATGTTAATAATAATGGTGTTAACAATAATGATGTTTTTAATAAATGAGGTTGTGGTTGAAAATAATGAACTTAATAATAATGTTGTTTATTGGTGGCTGTAGGTAACTCGCGCCACCCAAGAATGGTTACAAAATGAGGTTCCTCGCTTGATTTCCATCGCACAATGGCCACCAAAATATCCGGATACCAATCCATTGGACTATTGTGTCTGGAGTATTTTGGAAAGCAAGGTTGGCACTAACAAATACCAAAGTGTCGATCACCTCAAACATGCGCTCCGCCGGGAATGGGCAAAAATACCGCAACATTCGGGCAGCGTGTGACGGTGGAAGGCCATAATTTGTACCAATTCGAACAAACCTAAACTTATTCTTAAAATTGATGCTATTTCCGACATTTTTTGCTTTCACTCAATAATATAAAAAAAAAATTGTAAAAGTTATGGCGTTTGACTCTGTTGCAGTTTTTTTTTGTCTCACCCTTTATCTGACAATCTACATCACAATACATATTTAGTATATCTACGCTCAACTAAAACCTTTATATTCGGAATTTATGTAAATTTGTACCAAATATGATCGCTTTTTACTTATACTGAAGCTATAACTATGCCTGAACTCTAATTAGAGTGGAAGCGCCCCTGGGAGCAGAAAAAAATCGAGCAAACTCAATTTTTCGATGTCGCTCGAATAGAAGCGAGTACATTTTCCTCTTTCAAAATCGTTTTTTATACAGATGTTGTATATCTTTGTATGTGTATTTTTCTCCGTACAAGATCACACACCTCCCACTTCGCCCTTTTCTCCTTTCTTCCTCACTCTTTTGCAGTACACAGCAATATTGAAGCAAATCAGAAAACAGAATATTATTTCAGCCATTTATACTCCAGGAGCAAATTCTTACTATATTTTGAATGACCCTGTTCCAACTCTAATTTTTCAAACAGCAGTGACTCGGAAGTGCATTCCACACAAAACAAAAGAGTAGACAGAGAGTAGACTCCGTACAAAACTCGCACTCCTCGAGCAATCCTACTTGCAAGCCAATTTCACTACCGATTGAAATCTGTGCTTTGCTTATACCACAGTGTAGTGTCGTTACAAAAATAGGAAAAATATATTTTAAAGTATATTTTTTTCGAAAATATTGCTGACTAATTTGCGTTGTTGAGCTTTCCGTAATCGATATCATTCCTGAATTACAGCACTTGACCATAATCATACCATTTTTCCAGTGTTGCCAAACGTTTCATTTCCACTGCAAAAAGTTTCATTTGAATTGCAAAAGGTTTCATTTAATCTGAAAATGCCATATATATTCTGGATCAGCGTAAAGTTCTAAGACGATCTAGCGATGTCCTTCTGTCTGTCTGTCCGCCTGTAGGTTGTAATCACGTTATCTTTCGAACGAATTAAGATAGAAGGCTAAAATTTTGTACACAGCATAGTTTACCAGTAGGCAAGATAAGTTCGTAAATGGGCCCGGTCCGTTTTTGTATAGCCCCCATACAACGGTACCTCCCGATATTCGGTATTTTATGATTTCAGCGACATTTTTTACCGGAATTATTTCAAATTTCGTATTTGAAGTTCATAATTGGTACTACAGCCTATGACAAACAGTTTTGTATGCAGTTCCACTTCTTCGTGTAGCTTCGCTATAACGGTGCCTCTTTATATACGGTATTTTGATGAGTTTAGTAGAGTTTTTATTCACGGGATTTTTTTTTCAAGTTTCGTATTTTAATACAGTAATGGCTTATGACAAAAGTTGCCTATGCAGGACAATGTCTTCGTATAGACCCCAATGTAAGGGATATATTCTGTATTTTTAATTTTTAAACAGAAACAGAAATTTTAATGGATTATTTTTTTTTAATTTCCAAACTTGGGCAGGACAAAAAAAGAAAAACAAGTTTAAAAGCAGTAAGTTCGGCCCAGCCGAATACCCTCCACCATTTGGAATGAATTTGGAAATTTTTAAAAAATAAAATCTTTAAAAAATTCTGTTAAAATTTTAAAAATACCGAATATAGCCGTTATGTTGGGGTCTATACGACGTGGGCCTACATAGGCATTGTTTGCCATTAGCTATTACCATATTCAAATTCGAAACTTGAAATAAACGGTAAATAATGTAGCTATAATCATCAAAATATCGTATATAGGGAGGTACCCTTATATCGGAGCTGTGCGAAGACCTGGACAAGCATAGACAATTTTCTGTCACAGGCTATGGCATCCATTACTAACGTCAAATACGATATCTCAAACAATTTCGGTGGGTATTGTACCTAAACTCGTTAAAATACCGAATATAGGGAGGTACTGATATATGGAGCATATACGAAGACCAGGACCTGCATAGAAAATTTTCTGTCATAGGCTGTAGTATCCATTACGAATCTCAAATACCAAATTTGAAACAATTCCGGTAAATAATGTCGCTAAAATTATCAAAATACCGAATATTGGAGGTACCGTTATATGGGGGCTATACCAAAACGTGGACCTACATGGCCCATTTTCAATACCAAAAGTCCTGCAGACATAATATACATTTGAGTAAAATTTTATCAATATTCTTAAATTCGTACGGAAGCTAGAGTGATTTCCATAGACGGATAGACGGACAGATGGATGGACATCGCTAAATCGACGTAAAAATTTATGCTGATCAAGAATATATATACTTTGTGGGGTCCAAAATGTGTATTTCGAGGAGTTACAAACGGAATGACAAACTTAATATACCCTCCATACTATGGTGGAGGGTATAAAAATTGTCCGAGTAGGTCCACGTCTTCGTATAGCCCCGATATAACGGTACCTCCCTATATTCGGTATTTTGATGAGTTTAGTAGAGTTTTTATTTACCGGATTTTTTTCAAGTTTCATATTTGAATACTGTAATGGCTTATGACAAAAGTTGCCTGTGCAGGACCATATCTTCGTATAGACCCCAATATAACGGCTATAATCGGTATTGTTAAGATTTTAACAGAATTTTTAACGGATTATAATTTTTTTTTGAATTTTTCGAAATTCGATCAGGACGAACTTATATTTTTTAAAGTTGGCTGAAATTCGCAAAGTTATTATACATTTTTTTTTTGGAAAATAATATTTTTGACAAACACTTTGTTATGTCACGTGATCTTAACTTTTTTTTGAAGAACTTATATATTTTTCTAATTGTCATTAGCGTTATAAATACATTGGAGAACTTGCGAAGATCCATTTAAACCGATTTTAAAAAGATTTCTGCTGTAACTTAGAAAAAAAAAAAAACAATTCTTTCTTACTTTTTTTCTACAGTTATTGTTCATATATTAATTTTTTTAAATCTTAAACTTATTTTCACTAAAACACAAATATTTCAATAATTTATAAACTAAACAAACACACGTACACACTCTACACATAATGTTCAGGGACATATCTGATGTTTGTTACAACACTCTGGGTAGGGCGCTTCAATGTTGATGTAATCGCCAAAAGAGCAATTTGGCATGGGGGCTTTGTAGGGACAACTGAAATTCCAAAAAAATGATTGTTAATTTATTTATTTGGTAAGAGGCGATTTAAATTTACCCTTGAATCCTGCCAAAACCGTTTTTGTTGTCGCACAGGAATAGCATGCACTGTCCTCGTGGCTTGCCCTGTTCGCCGGGTAATAAAAATAATCCTTCATGTACACATCTGCCAGGATGGTCTAAATGTTCAATTTTCACAAAGAAATTTATTTTTGTTACAAATTTCGGTTGGCTGCACTTTAAAAACTGACCTGAATCTTTGAAAAATCCTCTGGCCTCGTCACACACCACGAATGCCACCAACAACGAGGAGGCCACAAGGATAAGAACACCACCAATGAATTTCATCTTAATTTGTGAATGGACGAAACGGAACTAAATTTAGAAGGCGTTGCTGTTTTACGATGAGCTATGTCTTTGATAAATAAAATACGCACATATTTGTTATATGTATTTATTGAAAAAATAAACGGCCAAGCCAATCAAATCGAGATTCAAATCACTATCGCTGTTATCGCCATCTTGCTCGATTCTGACGTAAACGTTGAAGCGTAATTAAAATCCATCAATCATTTCGAACAAATAAATGCAACATTTAAACTCGTCGGTCTGTCGATGTCCTCAAATGGGCAATGCTGCTGCCGCCGCCGCCTCCACTACCAACACCAACGCCGCCAAACTGATGCAAAGGAATTTTGAAGAGGTCGCTTCTAAGAAGAAAGAAGAAATGCTGATAACAGCATAGCTCGGTACACACACACATACATATGTATGTTGGTCAGCCCACAAAAACATAAAAGATGCATGCATCCATCCGATCCACCCATCGTTGAGAACCATATCAGCCGAGCAGTTGCTGGTGGGTCTTATCAGGAGCAGCCTTCAAGAAGCCGAGCCACAGCGTTCTGTGTCTTCTTATCTGAATTCTCCTGAGGTTGTTTACATTATATTAATGAACGTGATTTTGGCGCCACGGATCTACGTTATTTTGATTACTCGTGCGTTTGTTTTGACTTCTTCCAAGTAAAGACCAATCATCCGAATTTCATCGAAAACATTCCCATGTGTGTGTGTGTTGGAAAATTTTTTGTTGTCACATCTGATTTCAATGAATTAGTCATTTACTATAGATTGGTGGTAGTGGTGGTGGTGGTGCTGGTCATTGATGAAATTCTAGTTTGTTTACTATGTGCGGAGATTAGTTTTGAACCTCATGCCGTTAATGGGGAAACCCTTATGAGTTCGTTGTTGAATAGTTTTTTTTTCTGTTTTCAAGAATAAATGATCTTTGATCTTGACAAATAAAAACAAAACAAAATATTTTGACAAAAATGACTGCTGTAATCACACCATCGATTCCATCATCAGAAACTTTTACAGTTTGCCACCGAGATCTTTGTACTGTTTGTAAGAATTTCTTTGGCAAAGGGGGGATGTAATTGCGTCATTTTAATTCGAAATGTTGTTCTTCTTTCACAATTCATGAAAATCAAAATAAAAACATTCCAAATCGAAAACGAATATTTTTGTGCGTAAACAAATATGTCATTGAGGCGTCACGAAGCCTAGCTGAAAACTATTTGTTTTTATACCCTACAACACTATGTGTTGGGGGTATTATAAGTTTGATTGGCCCAAAAATTATGTAACACCTCGAAATATTGGTTTCCCATATAGGAAATTATATATAGATCTTCCTAGCTCGCCGAGCTGAGTCGATCTAGCTATGTATGTCCGTCCGTCTGTCCGTCTGTCCATGTTAATTTGTAATCACTCTACAGGTCGCAATTATGGCCCGATCTTCACGAAATTTAGAATGGAGGTGGGTCTGGGGTCAGAATAGAACCCTATTTCTTTTGGAGATGATCGCCAAATGTTTAGGGGTTGAAATGGACCAAATACTGAAAAAATGTCGGATTTTGCAGTAGCTATACAGGTCGCAATTATAGACCAATCGACGCGGAATTTCGCATGTAGCTAGAGTTTAGGGCGGGGAAGAGGCCTACCTATTTGGGTGGTCATCGGATAATATTTAGCGGGTAAAATAGACCATATCTTTTGTGCTGAAAAAATTCAAAATTTTAATATTTTAAATCCCGGCGAAATCATAAAGCCATGACAAGGTTACTTCTGATCTTTACATTGATGTTAACATCCAACAAAACGGATTTATAGCAAAATATGTGCGATATATATGTCTATCAAAGAAGATATGCTTGAAAGATCTCTTGCATGTCGAGAACGGCTGAACTGATTTCGACAGTTCTCATTAATTCAGAATGGCCTCTTGGCAGGAAAGAAAAAACGTCTAAAAAAATCGCATAAAAATATCTCTCTAAAGATGAAAATATTGATTTTGTAAAATTTTCTCATATTTTTTCAATTTTGTCATATTTTTGGCATATTTTCATTTCGAATTAAACATTTGATAATATTTCTACAGCTAACAAAACTAAGTAGTTAGGATATCAGGATATCATATACAGATCGCATTTATGGCCCGATCCTTACGAAATTTTGCATGGAGATAAGATGAGGGTCAGAATAAAAGCCTACTCTTTTTGGAGATGATCGCCATATATTTAGGGGTTGAAATGGACCAAAAAACTGCAAAATTGTCTGCAGGTCGTAATTATCGCCCGATTCTCACGCACATTTGAATGGGGGTTACCGGACATTACAAAAGCCAAGCAGTTTTGGATGGCCATCCAAAAGTATTCAATGTGTGAAATAGTTTGCCAACTTTTGTAGACAAAATACGAAAATGTCCATTCCAGTGACTTTTTGGACACAAATACTGGAAATACGCACTTCTGACTATTTCGTTAAAGCTGATTTCGTTGAAGAATATAGTCAAATGTCTGTATCTCATATAGATGCGTTTCAGTCAAAAACCAATATTGCTTCCAGATCTAGGAAGACCATTTAAGTGCAACATCTACCAATAAATTGGAAATGAGCAAATTAGTTTAAGTTGCTATTATTCGAAAATTAGAGAACGGAACCTGATGGTTTTCTTTTATTAATTGTCACAATATCTTGTGGAATTCTTTCGAGTATCTTGCCTATATAAACTGTATGGTTTATTATAGTGTTGTAGGGTATTCAATGGTCGGCCCCGCTCTACTGTAGCCTTTGCTTACTTGTTTAAGCCTAAAACTGCATTGTCATTGTCCACACGAAACGGCTGAATCAAGAATCTCAAGCGAACGGGTAACGCCAGAGCTCTAGATTTTTATGTGATTATTGGTAGGGCAAATCAAACCAATAAAGAAAGTCTTAAAGTCGGGCGGGGCCGACTTTTTGATACCCTACACCGTTTTGCTAATTTTGTAGAGCTCCAAATAACAATTAACAGATTTTATGGGAGAATTCAATCATACGCCCTATGATTATAATTCTAATTTAAAGTTCAAAGGACTAAATATGCCGAAGCATTTGTATCTTTTAAATTCGGACTTGTATTGCACATTTGGTGCAAAATAAATTTGAATTCGGATAAAGATATATATGGGAGCTGCATCCAAATCGGAACCGATCTCCATAAAATTTGGCAAAGATATTTCTGAGCTGTACGGAGTGCATATTACGGCTGAGGGTAACAAATATAACAAATCGGATGAACAGTATATATGATATCAGGTCGTAAGTGCCAAATTCCATCCCATTTGGTTTTATTGGTGCCCAATAAAAAGTAAATCGGACGAAATTATATATGGGAGCTATGTCCAAATCTGAATCGATCTCTATAAAATTTAGCAACGGTATTTCTGAGCTACATTTGATATATTTCCCCAAATATTTTTGTTACAGAGTACATATTACGGCTGCGCAGGACAAAAATAACAAATCGGATAAACAATATATATGGGAGCTATAGCTACATTTGAACCGATTTCGATCAAATTTGGCCTATTTATTTTCGGGCCTAATTTGGTTGTATGTGCAAAATTCCATAATATTCGGGCTGATATTACACGTTTGGTGTACAATAAAAAGCAAATCGGACGAAGATATATATGGGAGCTATATCTAAATTTTGACCGATTATCTCCAATTTCAAATGATTTGTGCAAAATTTCATCTGGACAGGGCAATAAATGCGAACTGTACTTTGTTTACAACAATACATAGACAGGCGGACGGACGGACGGACATGGATAAATCGACTCAAAATGTGATTCTATGCAGATCATCAAAAGGAACTATGGGTCTATCTCGTTTCCTTTTGCCTGTTACAAACAAATGCACAAAGACATAATACCCTGACCAATTTGTGGTGTAGGGTATAAAAAGGTGTATAGGGAGGTGAAAACATGGTGCAGTCTCACGATGGTTTAGAATTCATTTTTCCTGGCCAAATTCCAAATCCATTTTTTGGTCGCCACCAATTTTTATACCCCACACCGTAGTATGGAGGGTATGTTAAGTTTGTCATTCCGTTTGTAACGCCTCGAAATATGCATTTTAGACCCCACAAAATGTATCTATTCTTGATCAGCATAACATTTTATGTCGATTTAGCGATGTCCGTCCGCCTGTCCGTTTGTCCGTCTGTGGAAATCACTTTAGCTTCCGAACGAAATGAAGAAGGTTGATAAAATTTTATTCAAATGTGTACTATGTCTGCAGGACTTTGGGTATTGAAAATGGGTCATCTAAGTCCACGTTTTGGTATAGCCCCCAAATAATGGTACCTCCCAAAATTCGGTATTTTGATGATTTTACCGACAATATTCACCGGAATTGTTTCAAATGTGCTATTTGAAGTTCCCATATTATAGCACCTCCTGATATTCGGTATTTTGATGATTTTAGCGACATTATTCGCCAGAATTATTTCAAATTTGGTATTTGAAGTTCGTAATGGGTACTACATCCTTAGCCAGAAAATTGTTCGTGGAGGTCCACGCCTTATATATAACCCCCATATAACGATACCTCCCGATATTCGGTATTTTGATGATTTAAGCGACATTATTCCCTGGAAATGTTTTAAGTTTGGTATTTGAAGTTCCTTATGGATACTGCAGCCTATCACCAAAGGGTCCCTGCAGGTCAACGCCTTCGGATGGCCCCCATATAACGGTATCTCCCGACATTGGGTGTTTTGATGATTTCAGCGACATTGTTCACCGGAATTGTTTCAAATTTGGTATTTGAAGTTCGTAATGGATACTACAGCCTATGACAGAAAATTGTCTCATGTGGTCCTGCATCTTCATATAGTACCTCCATATGTTCGGTATTTTGTTGATTTTAGCTACATTATTCGCCGAATTTTTTTTTTCAAGTTTCGCATTAGAATATTGTAATGGCTTATGACAAAAGTTGCCTATGCAGGTCCACGTCGTCGTTCAGACGACATTCGGAATTTTTAAGAATTTATCAGAATTTTTAACGGATTTATTTATTTATTAATTAATTAATTAATTTTTTTTTTTTGAAAATGCCAAATTTGTTTCGAATGGTGGAGGGTATTCAATGATCGGCCCGGCCAACTTACAGCTTGTTTACTTGTTTTCCCCTAACTTTAGCACCGAATCCTCTTCAAGAAATCTACAAATGAAATTTGCCTTTCTTTTCGGTACTGACCCTTAAGAAAACCATAAAAATTAATCAAAT